AACCCTAAGAGGTTGACCGAGTCGACGCATCGTCGAATTCAAACTCTCCGGCTGTCATCGACTCACCGGATGACAGAATGCTAACAATTCAAATTCATATTCTTCCCAGATGCTTGCGGAAGAGGAAGAACTGAGAAAATAATTGCTTTTGTCATTGTGGATTTTTAATTGTTTTTGACTTGGAAATTTTGAAAGTGGGTGGAGTTAGTTCATCATAATCTGAAGGCATAAATATTAAAGTTCAAACCTATTGATCATTTCTTACATATTTTTTTCTGCAGCCAAAGTTGGGATTAGGATTTGGATTGTTAAACTTAAAAGTCAAGCCAGAATGGTTTGCCTTGCCAATGGTTTTTTATCCAAGAAGGATTAATCTTTCTTGTTGATCTGAAGTTACTAGTAAATAAGTTGTTCGGGTTGAGTTTCACAAAGGGTTTAGTTGTTTCATTAATTAAGTAATGAAAGGTTTTTTTTATTAGTAACCCAATTAATTCTTAGAATATGTATTATATTACCTTTATTGATAATAGCTAAACATATTGTCCGTATACTATTATTTTAATTTTCAAAGTGATTTGAGGACTTAGAGGATTGGAATAGAGAAATGCATATGTACTTATAACTGCGTTCAATTATGCAAGTAGTCATTTATCACATTGGTGAAAAAAAAAACCATGCGTTCAATTATCAAAAAAAGAAAATTATGATAATTATTACACAATAGATAAACGGTTATGTGGGTAAAAAGAAAATTATGACAATTATTACACAGCGGATTAACGGTTATGTGGGTAAGGCATAAACGATTGTGGGTAAATAACCGCAGTTACCCGTTACCATAACCATTGTCTATCCCTATTTAGGACTTAGGAGCAGGACTGTGAAATTTTACGTTGATTTTCTTGTTGAAAACACTACTTCTAATTATTTTTATTTTTATTTTTAACAAAAAAAAAAGAACAAAAAAACATTTTTTGTGTTATTTGTGTTCATTTTAAAAGTTGGATTGAGGTTGTAGGGTCTTTCTTCTCTTTTGTACTGTTTTCGGACTCAAAACAAGAAATTTCGTTCTTGTAATAAAAACTTCAGTATAAATATATCTTTATATCAAAATAAAAAAAGCGTTATTAAGCAGAATCATCAATGTTCAAGTTTTATCATGAAGGTGCTAAAATTATCAAAGCCCCAAATTGTGAAAGGAAAAGTTTTTTCTTAAAGGTTCAAGCCCAGACCATTTTATAACAACGGGCCAAACCAAATCAAGATAGTCCATTGGACTTGAGTTATGTATGGATGCCACTCTGCTGGTTACAGAGATTATCAAGATCCTAATCTCATTTGAGTTAGGCTAAGTGGATTATAATCATCCGCTCTTACATCATATTAGGCACTGACAGATATGAAGAAGACAAGGCAAATTGGGTTTTCATTTTGCAAGCAAATAACAATAGTGAGAGAAGCGTGACCCACATCCCTTACAAAATTAACTTTCTGATAAATATAACGGAACAAGATGTCTTAAAATCTACAAATAAGCTTCTGAACGTGAGCATCAAGGCGCTCAATTACTAGGGGGTGGTACTGGTAATGGTCCTATTAAAAGCATCAATAAGGACCTTTGAGTTCCACCCACCAAAAAGGAGGGTTAGCGTTATGACCTCGTCTAAAATAGTTTTTAATAAATTTCTTTTACAAAACGTTATCCTGTTCTAAATTATAATAATTTATTGTGAGAAAATTTCAAATTTGGATTCAACAAGTAGCGTACTGCAAAAGCCAACTAAGCCTAACACAAGTGCATAGATTTAAGTGAAGTCACCTAAATTAGAAGTTTTTCTATCCGAAATTGGACGAGAGCAAAAAAGAGAGAAGATATGATCAGAGAGTGGTGCCGGGTAGGTATGAATTTTTGTGTCTTGGCGATATAATTTCTCCTAAGTTTGAGCCGTTGAGGATCACATTCATAAGTTTCAAGGTATACTCTAAAGTATTCTAACAAACTATAATCAATTATAAACCAACACATGTAAGAGATGCATATGTTAGAACTTAGGGACTTACTAGAAATTTGGGCCCACGCGTTGTTGCGGGATTGAAAATTAAATGAAAGATTATATATGAAAGATACAAAAGGTAAACAACAACGAACCCACTTGCCAATCCTACCAAAAGAAGCTTATTATAATTCTAAGTGAAACAGAGGTGAGTAATTCTAAGTGAAAGGCCAACATAGATACATATATATATATATTTTTTTTTTAATACATCGATAATTTTATACTAAAGGAATAACGAGTTTAGCTAAGCCACACAATAGGCAACCTATTTTGATATCGAATCCGCCATCCACGAGATTCGAACTTAAAACCTCTCACTTCCAAGTGAAGAGAAATATCACCAGACCGTAGTACTGAGTAGCATATAAATTAAACATTCTGAATTTTCCAATTACATAAAGCACTCCTCAAAATGAAGTCTTCCACTGGACCAATCTTTCATTGGGCTAAGCCTCCGATACTTGGAATCCAGCCTAATTCCAAAAACCCAGCTGAGTGGCAGTCTTGTAAATAAAACGAAATGTAGGTATTGTTACTGTAGCTTATGAACTGGCTTCCTCCCCACCCCAATCCAGGCCCAAAAGAGCAGCCCAAACTCATCATCTTTCATGAAGGAAAGCCCAAAACCGAAAAAACCAATGGCACAAATGTAATTAGAATGAAATAGAGGGCCCATTCCATATGCAACATGAATACTGCAATTTCTTTTCCAACTTTAGACTTAAGTAATATGCTAGAATATTCTTATCACACACCATTCCAATCAAAGTAAAATGTGGTTTAACCCCCTGAACTATCATCCTAGTCGAAATTGATCATCTGAATTAATTAAAATCAGCCAATTAATCCCTTACTGTTAGGTTTCGTTAACCATTTCATCAAATTCAAGAGCAAATTAATCATTTCATCATCAATTTTTACTTGTCAATAATAACCACTAATAAAACTATGCCACTAATAAAACTATGACACATGGACACAAAATAATGTGTAAAACATATAGCATAATAAGAAAACTTGAATAAATAAATAAATAAACTGAACATTTACATAACAGACCATTTCAAATTGTCATTACACATTATTATGTGTCCACATGTCATAATTGTATTGGTGATTATAGTTGACAAGTAAGAATTGATGATGGAAAGACTAATTGCCTTTAAATTTGACAAAAACAGTGGATCCAATCTACCGAGAAGGGGTTAATTGGCTAATTTCAAATAGTTCAGGGGATTAATTTACCAAAAAAATAGTTCAAGTTGTCAATTTCAACTAGGGTAATAGTTCAAGAGGTCAAATAATAGTTTATCCTTCCAATTATTAGTATTCTCCCTCCCTTTCCTTCCTCATTGATTTTCCACGTGGAAAAATCTGGAAACGTTTAATATTGAAACATTTGAATGCAAAGGGAGGAGTTCGTTTGACCAAAAAGAAATGTAGAGAGAGGAGTTAGGTGTCAAATGGATGCATGTATTTGGTATGCAACAAACAATGCAAAAACAAGCATGTGTTGTATAAAAAAATTCCCACCAGAAAGGGAGGAGGTGTGGAATTGGCAGTATTGGAGGTAGGTAGCATAAATTTGGTGACTTTGAAGGGTTTGCTTTGTTTGGTGTATAAAATAGTTTCCAACTTAAAATTTTCAAGATTCAAATTTAAAATTTTTTAATTACAAGTAAAGAGCAATACTACTAAATCATATAAATAAATAACTAATGTATTCTTATTAATTAAACCTTTTAGAAAAAGACTTAATATAAATTTGGTGATTTCAAAGAGTTGCTTTGTTTGGTGTATTCTTATTAATTAAATCGTTTTAGCAAAATATTTAATTAGAGCCTATATCATGGCCCTTCTACCTACTCAAAAGACAAAATCATTTTTGTTTTATAAATAAATAAATAAAAATAGATTAACCCATCCATAATCAGGCTCTTTCAAGTATGGTCCCATGAAAATTAAAACCTCTAGTGGTAGATGAGGCCAACCTAAATTGGTCATCCTACAAAGAACATGATGCCAAATATAACAATCTACCAATCTTTTTTTTTTTTTAATTTTTTATTTATTTAGTTAATAATTCAACAAGTCTTTTATGATATTTGACCTCGAAAGTAAAAACCTATGTCACCAAGGTGTTCAGGGTTACTAAACTAAAAGATAATAAAAAATAAAAATAAAAACTGTTAATTTCTTTACACAAAAAGAAAAACACTACTATTTTTTACATGCATGCAGTGCAATATGTTCAACATCAATGCATGCTCTTATCAATGCACTAGTAAAAATAAACTCACAAAGTTTTGGTAATGTCGAACTTATAAGCTATTGTATCTGGAAAATCTTGCTCCAAACTTGTTAGTTAACTTGTAATTTATCAATTAAATCCATTGATCAATAATCCTTACCACCTTTAAGTGACTCTTTATCCAAATTATTATTTAAATCTTCTTATCCAAGTCAAAAACCATGTAATCAACTTCTATCATCCAAATTAACATTTGTACCAAAAAGAAAAATTAAACTTGTGTTGTAGAGTCTATTTAACTGACGAATATAGTGAGGGAAATAGATGGCGCGTTGGCAAAGAGAAGAGAGAGTTTAATGTAATTCATATTGTGCATCTATTAATAATAGTAGGAAACATAAAATCTTGACCCAACAGGTACTACATTTTTAACAAAATATTATTTTTAGGATACTATCTAAAAATTAAAATATAATAGAATATCAAAAGAATTTTCTAAGATTTACACCGTTAAATTTCGAACTTAATTAGGACTGCAACAACTAATACTATAAAACGATGAGAATTGAAGATTGAAGTCAAACCTACACAACAAAGTCAGAGGCACAAATGCCCATCAATCTGCAGACAACTTTGGCAAACCCTTTGTCAATACACTGTTGCTTTAGAACGATTTTATTGACGACGACAAACTACAACGATTTCTTCTATAAATATAAATATTGATTATATACATAGTGATTATATTATATATACATGTAAAATAAAACTCAAGTTTATTTCTTTCCCTCTCCTCTGAAACTTGATGGGAGATGAAATGTTTTATGGGATGGAGAGACATTGATATTATGTTGTAGGTATTAGCTTTCTCTTTCTGCAAACAACTCATCAGCCATCTTCTTCTCCGTCAACCTCTCTCGTAATAAACTCTGTTTTGCTCTCTCTCTCTCTCTCTCTCTCTCTGTGCCTCGGTTTTGTCGCCTTTTCCTGTATTTAACCAGGTAGATTGCTAAATGCACCCACTACACTTTTCTGTATTTTTCAAATGTGATTGGTTCTGCATTTCCATCTGGGGATTTTGGCTTCTGGGTTTCTCTCTGATACTCCTAATCTCTGCAAAGGTCTTGTGTTTTTTTTTTACTTTTTTTTAGATTTTGGTTTGATTGTGTTTGAATATCTGAGAAAATATGGAAAAATATAAAAACAAAAAAGCATTCCTTTCTGGGTTTTTTGGATCTAGTTTTCATTGGGAAATAGTTGATTTTGGCAACAGCATTGGATTTACATCTTTTTTTCTGTATAGAGATTTATTTATTTATTTATTTTTTTACATAATCAGTGCTAATTGTTTTCTGGTAATTAATTTCCAAATGTTGGTCAAATGGGGTGGATTATGATGGGATTAACATGTTTTCCTGAGCTCCGTTAACCTTATAACGGTTCATCTAATGTGAGGATTGATCCGATATTGGAATGCAAAAAGATATTTGCTATTTGTTTGTAAGCATGGCAAGTTACAATAGTTCAACTACGTTTTTGTTGCACGGAACTGTAACTCAATAGGTTAAGAGTGGTTACTCCTACACCCGAGGTCCTGAGTTCAAATTCTCATTCTCTAATATCGATTTTGTCATTTGTTTATATTGTTTTTTTCCTTCATTATTCATCCCTGTTTTTGTCCCAAAATCCTTGATAATTTGTATTTTAAGATATTTTTGTCCTCTAATTTGTATAATTTGTGTACTTGTGAATTGACCTGGTATGTTACGAATTTTCAGAATGGCTGCTGCTACTGCATTTCACCAAAGCGTTGGGACTCCTCACTCCCTTGGCCTTGTCAATAATTCCGGCTTGCATCAAGAGTTTGCGAAAAGCTCAGGGAGATTGATTTCAAAGCGTTTTGAGGTTGATATTGGACTGTCGAAAAGAGGAGGATATAACTCTTCCCAGAGAAACCTTAGAGTAATTCGAGCCTCGGCTTCTGAGGCTTCAGTGATTGATATGGTTTCATCCCCCTCGCATACCAAAGCCAATGATTCTCGAAAGAAATCTAGTAAGCAGCTTTAACCATTCAATGATCCGTGATTAGCAAATATGCTCATGTTAATTGTTTGTTGTTGCTTAACCCATAACATGGTCATATAATTCATTTTCCTAGAAACAAATTGGTTGAACTTTATTCTTTGTACAATTGATATGCCATATCCATATGAGTTTGAAGTTTAAATTTCTAGTTGTAAAATTTTCCAACCACCTGCATTGCAGATGAAGCAGCTTTGATTTTGATTAGGCATGGCGAGTCATTGTGGAACGAAAAGAACTTGTTCACAGGCTGTGTTGATGTCCCTCTGAGCAAGAAGGGTGTGGAAGAGGCAATTGAAGCTGGCAAGAGAATCAGCAACATACCTGTCGACATGATCTATACATCTGCACTTATTCGTGCACAGATGACTGCCATGCTTGCCATGACACAGCACCGTCGTAAGAAGGTAATTTGGAGCAAAACATCTTGTTGAGTGTTAGTAGGAACCACTTGAATAGCTATTTGGAGGCTTTACGTAGTGGCATTGGAAACTAGAAAATGATATTCATAGATGATTGAATTGGTTTTATACCATTCATCGTATTTAAGCAGGGATACGCAGACAAAACATATGTTCGCACCCTAAAAGGAAAAATAAATATTGCGCTATTAATTTGAGCTGCATTTTCAAAACTGTTTTAATGTCTGAAATCCTTAAGTTTTCCATATTTCCTGTTCACTCTCTTCTGGTTGTATATCCATTTGGCGGCCTTTTTATATCAGTTTTCCTGCAGGTCCCAGTTATAATGCATAACGAGAGTGAACGGGCTAGGGCATGGAGTCAGATTTTCAGTGAAGACACAATAAAGCAAACCATTCCTGTCGTTGCAGATTGGCGATTGAATGAAAGAATGTAACCATTCCATCTTTGCATTTTTGTATTATTGTTCTTTTATTTATTTTTCCCTGTACTTGCATTGCATGACATGGATCTTGTTTTTAGGTATGGGGAATTACAGGGTCTTAATAAGCAGGAAACAGCAGACAGATATGGGAAGGAACAAGTTCACGAGTGGCGTCGGAGTTATGACATTCCCCCACCCAATGGGGAGAGTTTGGAAATGTGTGCTCAAAGAGCTGTTGCGTATTTCAAAGATCAAGTAAGAATGACCATGTGCCTACCTATCTCTTTGTCCTCTTAACTGTTTGTATTACATCCAATATGCAAGGGTTTTGTGTCGTTTTTGAAGTCTTAAGTGAGAGTACGCCGTTCTGAATATATGACTGCATATATATAACGCTGCAGATTGAACCCCAACTGTTAGCTGGAAAGAATGTTATGATTGCTGCCCACGGGAATTCGTTGAGATCCATAATCATGTATCTTGACAAACTGACTTCTCAAGAGGTAACAGACCATTTTATTATTAAGATGTGCACTAAATTTGTGGGAACGGAGCAGGAAAAGGATAAAATTAATGTGTTGTCTTGTTATATTTCGGCAGGTTATCAGTTTAGAACTATCAACTGGAATACCCATGCTTTACATTTCCAAAGAGGGAAAATTCATTCGGAGGGGAAGTCCTGCGGGGCCTGCTGAGGCTGGGGTTTATGCCTACACCAAGGTATGCAACTTCTTGTATACTTGCAACTTTTCCACAGTCCAATTCTATAGTATCAATAGTTAGGTGAATTTCCTAGTATTTCAGCCGGGAAAAATAATGTGCCTGCTCTTCCCTTTGTGAGGAAAGAAAGGGAGCTTCCAAGTCATAGCAACTGGATCCCCACACTCACCGTAAAAGATTCAACTTCTTCTATCAAGGAAGGCTGTAACTTATATACACAGCTTTGATTAGACCCTAATCATCTCAAATTGGCATTCATTATTGTTCTTCTGTCAAGGATCTAATGCGTCCGCTATTTGAATTTTGTTGCAGAGTTTGGCTCTTTACAGGCAGAAGTTAGATGAGATGGTTCATCGGTGTGCTCCTTCCTAGTATAGGTAACCCCATAAATATTTTCTCAAGTAGGGAACCTAAATTACGGGTTTTCTTCTGCTTTTGAAGTCTTAAATCTGCTTGTGCACATTCATTTGCTCTTCTCAGGAGGCTTATCTTTCGGCAGTCTTGTACCGGTTGATTGCTTCGTTCAAGTTTTTACGTGTATATGAAATATATTGGTACGGTTCTCAAGCTCGCAGACCTGGCTACTCGTTTCTGTGTACTTTCTGTATGTGTTTAGCAAGCAAATTTAGTTAAAGTCAAAGTCTTGTATGAGAGTGAAAGTTGTGTATGTTGTTTTTTTCCTCCCAGTTTGTAATCGTGTAATGATAGATTCAAATAAACAAAAACATTTTAGATGGAGGAACATCCCTCCCATATAGAACATGTAGTTCATCATCTGATCTTTGTTCATAGAATTATTATTTTTGTCAGCCAGATTATCACCATTCAAATTATATAGTTCATCTCTAGGGCCATTCAAATTATAAGTCTCCTAGTTTTCAGCATTTCCTGCATCAAGTATTTTTGGTCTCAGTCTGGTACCTAAAGTCATAATTTTGGGACACTTTTATATATTCATTATGTTTTTCGTCAGAACCTCTATTACATGATGGCATGGCGCCCATTGGACTGATTAGGCACCATGTGTCAATCTGGTACCACATGAATATAAAAAATAAAAATAAAATAATTAAAAACTAGAATAAATCTTTGTTTATTACCTTAAGTTTTTTGATTTTCAACAGTTCATATATCAAGTTTTTTTTCATCCCAGTCTGGTACCTAAAGTGATCATTCTTGGATCCGTTGAGTTTTCTATCAAAACAACAGTTAACTTATGATGTGGCACTTTCATAAACTATAATTTAACGTCACGTGTCAATTTAGGGCCCACGTGGATGTTAAAGATTTTATGTCAAACACATTCTAAAGAGTTTGGCTGTCAAAAAACACTTTTAGCCCTCCATGAAGTAATATCCAACCATGCCCTAATTTAGTGACCTTTTTTTTTTCTTTTTTTTTTTTTTTCTACTTTCGTTTCTCAAGCTATGTCTTTCGAAAAAGCTCTTTGGCTGTGAGAAAATGCCTATAACCCTTTTTCGATGTGAAAGATTTAAATGTCATGATGCGCAAAATGAGTTTATCTGTTGAATATGTGGAGCATTTTGGAGGAGATTAGTTCGATTCTAAAACCGATTGATCATATCAGACGCACACATCGGGTCCGAGTCATTATTCTAAAAATCTTCATCTAGTGCTGTTTAGGCTGGGCAACTGCGCACTGTCCCAATTAATGTTTGAGCGTTTGAAAATTAAGAAAGAGCTCCTAGACCAACTGAGGCGCCTGCCTAGACAGCCTAGACACCCGCTTAGCCCCCCCCCCCAGACTGGCCTAGGCACCCGCCTAAGTCACAACTCACTTAAACAAAAAATAGATAACTTTCATTTTGCATTATATTTTTTCCAATAAATTGTAAGAGATTGTTGCAGGCTTAAATGAACACACATTACATTATGTTCCCTTGTTTTCAATGTTTCAATACTTTAATATATAAGGAAAACCAATGAAAATGGCTTGAAAACTTTGAGTTTTAACGATAAGAACAAAATAAAGGGTACAGTGAATAGTACCAAGATTGACTTTTTAGTGTAAAAATATGATTTTTCGTTAAAGTGAACGGTACCGCGGATTTTTTGTTAAAACTCCCTGATGTCAATGTATTTTGTAGTTTTTTTATGAAATTACATATATTTTATGTACAAATAGATACTTATTTACACGAGACATAATAGATTAACTTAAATCCATCTAGTGTGCCTAGGCGCCCGCCTAGGCCCCATCTAGCCGTCTAAGCCCTAGGCCCTAACCCGCCGCCCAACTACCGCTTAACATGTTTTCAAACCTTGGTTAGAGTCAAACTCGACAGGCATTTTTTAGGAAACGAGTTCGACTCAAAAACCGACCTTTCGCCTGTCTGCTCTTAAACACCACCGTTCTTCATGCGCTCTGGAATTGGAATATATGTTCCGCAGAATGAACCACAAGAAAAAAAGAACAGATAAATGCAAAAATCTCTTATTTGAATTGTGAACTGCGCGAGTTCCAACTAACTTCAAAAGGCGAATTCATTCGTTGAGACACCAAAAATTTCTCAAAATAAATTGACGAATAGAGTCGACGATACATCAGTTAAGTCACCATCATCTACCTTTAGCCATTCTTATACTCAATGTACACCTTCGGTAGCATTTCCGGTACTAGCAGCCACCGGCTCATCATTGTCTGAGACTTCCGGTTCTATCCCATGGGATGACGAGATGTCTGTTTTCTCGTCATCAGAAGCATCAGAATCTGAGTCTAACTTGAGAGAATCTAATGAAAGAGCAGCACTGGTAACAGCAGGTTCTGAGGCCGCCAAAGAAGGGTTTCCTCTTGTCCAAATTGTGGACATCTTCTTGTCATCCTCTTTCATCCTTTCTGCATATTTATTTATATCGAAACCAGAAGTATCGTTTCCCCCGAATGCAGCCTCCAGTTTATCCATATCAAACAGATCCTCCATTATCTTCTTGGCGTTGTTGTCATCCGAGTAAACAAACTTCACTTTGTTGTATGTCTTTGGCTCTAGAAAAGGCTTTACCATCTGCAACAAAGAAAGATATTATTAGCATCAGAAGAACCCAGCTGATACATTTTGGCCGTAAATTCACCCATGTTAATGGAAACCTACAAGTACTAAGCGACTAGGATCCTCTCTATTTGGAACTTTTCTAAACCGGGAAAAGCAAATGGCCAGCTCCTTGGAAACAGGAATGGCATAAGATACAAAGAAACCGCTTATTACTAATAATTTATCAGGCTAAAAAAATTGGCACTCTTCCGGCAGCCAAAGTTAGGTGGCAATTTGCAGTTCTTATTCCCAAAACAAGACACTGTCAATGACAAGGCCAAAGCTGTATAACGACAAACTGAAAGTGTTGCAGCTTCAGTATAAATGATCCTCTAGGAGTATAGATGTAGCGAAAAATTTAAAACAAGAGGAACAAAAAGCATCAAATGGACTTACCGAAAAGAATGGTTCAAAAAACTTGGGTGGATTGTACAGTATTGCAAGTCCTAGGTGTTCTGGATAACGGTCTTGTAAAACACGTGCAGTTTCCCGTGTCACCTTCACCGAAATATTTGACAAATTGAAACCTTCGAAGTCTATCATCCAAACCATCTGCTCCTGACCTGGAGGAAGATTTAAAACAGCATTCTCCATGCAATATACCAAATATTTAATCTGGCCCTTCGTTGACTTTGAGTTCTACAATAAAAATACAAAAAGTTAACAAGGCAAATTAGTTTTCTTCTGAAACTTGGATCTCTAGAGCATTGGATATGCCTATAAATTATAAAACAGCAGATCCCATAAAAAGGATTTCAAAAAGATGAATATAACCAATGATTTTGTCAATAATGGTGCACCGTCAATATGCTTATTATCGGAATGTCAGACAAGTTATTTTTGCAAAAAGTATCTGCTCCAATACATGATTTTTTGTTTAGATGAGATGAAATAAGTTGACGATAAAAACAGTTTTACAGCAGGATAAGATCCCAGACGTAGCTACTCAGAGACCAACAAAATATTCTAATCTAGAATAATAGCCTAATTTATGAAATACAGAATATTCATGGAGGTATCAGAAGAGTTTAGAAGATAAAACCTGACAACGTGGTCTCATGACGAGAACTGGTCTCCCATGCTTGTCGAAATAATTCGTTCTGTAAATCTTCCCCGTTTCTGCTTCACGAGCTATCTCTTCCTGTATTAGAAATGAAGATGATGAATTTGTAAGAACATAGTCTCTTCAGTAACCAATACCATATACTGCAAGAACCGGCCACAACCATGAAGACTCCAGTTGACCATTGCAGTATCTAGGTTAGAAGTAATTATAGCTATGCTGGAGTCTGATAATTGGTCTATTAATTATTTTACAGTTACATGATATTTGGGGTTGGATTCAGAAAGGACTGCTGATTGGCCTAGGATGAATTATTACAAAATACAGAGATGTCAACTGGCCCTTGTTGCGTGCATTGAACAAGAACCAAATAAGCCAGCTCAGGATGCATTGCAGAACAACGATAGAGATAAAAGCCTTAAGTTTGCATGAGGGACTTTCAACGAGCCAAGGAAATTTATACTCAATGGTTGAAAATACACTACATGGACACCGCCATTGAACTACTTGAGCACCAACGAGAACCAAATAAACCAGCTCAGGATGCATTGCAGAACAAAGATAAAGATAAAAACCTTATGTTTGCATGAGGGACTTTCAAAGTGCCAAGGAAATTTAGACTCAATGGTTAAAAATACACTTGGAATTTAAAGGTCTACACCTGCGTCAATAAAAGACAGAGTATATGGAGTGCAAGTTCATTGCAAACGGAGGCTCAAATGAGTTAGGGGTGAGGATTGGAGATCAGGAAGTACCAAAGAGCGACCGCTTTCGCTACCTAGGATCTATCTTGCAAAAGAACACAGAGTTGGATGGAGACCTCAACCATATAATACAAACTGGATAGATGAAGTGGAAGAGTGCATTCGGCGTGTTGTGTGATCGTCGTATGCCATTGAAGCTCAAGGGAAATTTTATAAGACAGCAATAAGGCCGGCAATGCCTTATGGCACGGAATGTTGGGCGGTGAAGCATCAACATGTACATAAAATGGGTGTAGCTGAGATGAGAATGCTTCATTGGATGTGTGGGCACACGAGAAAAGATAAGATTAAGAATGAGGATATCTAAGGTAAAGTAGGAGTAGCCGAAATTGAAGGAAAGATGAGAGAAAATCGGTTACGGTGGTTTGGACATGTGAAACGAAGGCCTACTGACGCTCTAGTTAGAAGATGCGATTACGAGACAGAGGTTCAGGGCTGAAAGGGTAGAGGAAGACCTAAGAAGACTTTGGAAGAGACTCTAAGAAAAGACTTAGAGTACTTGAATCTAACGGAAGACGTGGCACAGAACCAAGCGCAATGGCGTTCTAGGATTCATACAGCCGACCCCACTTAGTGGGAAAAGGCTTTGTTGTTGTTGTTGGTTAAAAATACACTACATGGACACCGCTATTGAACTACTCAAGCACTACAAAACTACTAATAAAACACTACAAATGCACTACGAAGACAATAAATAAGAAACAAGGGACTTTCAAATGACAACCTGAAAGGTGTCATCTGAAAGTTCTCTTGAATGTATTGCATCTAGTCAATTTCATGTTCCTCTTATCTAATTTTTGCAGTGCATTCCTAATAAATTTAGCCTAAATTTCATGGAACTTTAAATTCCCTCATCCAAACATAGGGTCAAGGAACAACCTTCAGAATTTTATATCA